AGCAAACAAATTTCTAGTGTTCCAATATATCTTAGCATTTATTCCCCATATGGTGAGGCGGGGAAGGATTATTGATCATGTTTATTTTGCAGATTCAATTCCCTGTGCAAAATAGTTTCTATCAATATTATGAAATCTGAAATAAGATGAAAAATGGTTCTGACAAAGCAATGGCAATACGTATGGTTTAATATAGATAACACTGTGCTTCTCGTCCAAAGAAAAATAAAAAGAAATTAATAGAGAACAATAATAAGAGTTCCATGCAAGACATATAAATTGTGTGGGACATGCATAAAGCAGGTAAATAACTGAAGAAAGTTTCTGGGCAAAACCATGTATGTCAGGGACATTTGATTGTCATTTATTAAATAGATCTGTTAAATGGTCATGGTTTTATCTATGAATTGTGTCTTGAAGTTGCAGTTGTTCTCTTATTCTTATTTGTTATTCTATTTGTTGATTTTATTTTTTGGCTTACTAAGTTATGTACTCAGATAACAACCAAAGTTCCGTTGTCCATTTCTGGTTGCCTTTTACCATATGAGTTGAATGAAGTTTTAATGAATGTGATGTAACTGTATTCCCTCATTTTATATTTTGAGTGCAGTGAGTAATTTGTACATTTCTGATTGTTGTAGTTGTGAATTTGACACTGGTCGATCTTCCTGGACTTACGAAAGTAGCTGTTGGTCAGTTTTGCATCCCCTACTTTTTGTGTTTAATCTTCTGTCACACTTCCCTTTATCACACAACCTGATTGGTTTATTGCTGGTTTATCAGAGGGTCAACCTGAAAGCATTGTGCACGATATTGAGAACATGGTCCGAAGTTATATTGAGAAGGTATTCTAAATTTTGAGGTTTCTTTGACCATAAAATTTGTGAACGTTAATGAGAACTTCCAATTGTAATAGAATGTTAAGCTATTACTTTTAGACTATAGTTTAAGATGAGTTTATTTAAATAATATTTTCTGGTTAAAATAATTTACTGCAGCCAAACTGTATTATTTTGGCAATTTCTCCTGCCAACCAAGATCTTGCAACATCAGATGCAATCAAGATTTCTCGTGAAGTAGACCCGAAAGGTATGGCATTTGTCATACTGTGTGGGGGCATGAAAGAGTGTTTATCACTTTTTTGAATGTTATTGCGATTCACAATCAGCATGTTTTAGTTTTTACATTTATTAGTCTGTTATTACGTTCCCACTTAGTGATGATTAGTTCTATTTCCACTGTTTGATGGCTTTGTGATGATTTTATTCCAGGAGAGAGAACATTTGGAGTTCTAACGAAGATTGATCTCATGGACAAGGGTACTGATGCTGTCGATGTAAGTTGAAATCTTTATATTGCTAATCTAATGATACTGGTGGGACTGACCATAATCAGCAATGACAAGATAAGACTTGTTTTTATAAACTTGACTTGGTAACAAGAATCATTTTTTGCTACGCAGGTTGATAAGAACTACCTGTAAAAGGTCCAATAAAATCATTTCTTTCACAAACCACATTAGGGCACGTGAAGTTTGGTCTGCTTCTCCTTTCCATCTGTTATGCTAATATTTTATCAGACTTATGAGCTAGATCTTTCTTTGTATCTACTCATGACATGCTCCATCCACCTAAAATTTCAATTCCTCGGTTTATACTTATTTGGTGTCATACTCTTTTTGGCAAATATCTACACCCATTTGGTATAGAAACTTGTCAATCTTGACTTCTCCATTTATGCTGCAATTTGTTTTATGATTTTTTTCTTCTCTCCTTTTCCCTTTTACTGCCCTAACACTTGGTACAGAAAGCATAGTTGGACTAATAACTTACATTTTTACCTTTTCTGATTCAAAGATATCTTCCATTTTGTCCAACATACTTTCGTCCCACACACTACATTCACTTCGATCTTATCATGTCAAACATAAATACCTAAACAATCACTACGTAAGAAAATATGTTCTAGTATCGTGATTCTTCTGTCATTCTTATTCTGACCATGCTAAAAGTTTACTGTATTCTTCTCTGCTTCTAATTATCTTAAAACCTTTAGGTTCTAAATTACTCTTGAGAAATTTTAACTTAGAATTTCTCTCTTGTTGCGTCAAGCAAGACGTAATCAGCTAATAACATACACCAGGGGATATCTTTTTGGATTTGTCTCATATGTTCATATATTTACGGCAAAAGAATAAATACTTGTGTTTGAGTTGTTCGAGTCCCTTTAGGGCGACTGAGGTGAGCATCCGACCGTAAACTTTAGGGCCTTTGGGATTAATCGAGGTGCGCGCAAGCTGGTTCGTTCATCCACGGTTATCAAAAAAAAAATAATAATAAATAAATACTTGTGTTTGGAAATTTGATATAGTCTATAGCGATATGAAACTCTAATAGTGCCCACTGAATCTTGCATTATGACTGCTATATCATATACATCATTAATGATCATAATAATTCTTTTCTTCTGTAATTTCATTCCACTCCTTGTTACTTTTTATTTTTTTTTTGGTAGATTAATAGAATGCAAATATTGGCTCTCTCTCTCTCTCTCTCTCTCTCTCTTCTTCTTCTTCTTTTTTTATATATATAGTTTTTCCATCAATAGTGAGAACAACTAATGGGTTCCGTATTATATTTTACCTGCATAAAACCAAGTTGGTTCGCTGAAACCTTGAATTAGACCTTGTATCTAGCTTAATCACCATCTCTCGTGATTTTATAGTTTCACTCATGAGCTTAATTCTGGGGATGGGGTGGGGGGAAGCTTACTTGTCAGATGACTGATTATCCTGTATATTCTAAATGTGTTTGGGGAGATTCTTAGATGACAGAAGCTTGCTATTAGTAGCGTATACATACCTAAGGAGCCTGTTAACAGGAGCAAATCAGATGCTGCCACTTAATGTGGTCTACCCATGCAGTAATGAACTTATCCTGTGTTTTTTCAGTGTAGATATTCTTGCTCACATATTTGGAGCCCATTAGTAGGAGCAAATAGGCACTGCCTCTTAATCCAGTTTAGCAATTTCACAAGACAAACATGTCCCATCCTTCTACTCATAGATAAAACTGTTTGCTTCATCTTCTTGCTGGCACATCTGTTTTGATCAAGTTTGTGTATTCTGTTGTGCAATCTAGACTCAAATGGTTTTTTTGTTTTTATTTTAATATTAATCCTGGAATCTCAGCCACCATAAACGCCTTTTGTAGAAAGAGAAAAAATGACAAGAAATCATTGACTATTTCAGTTTGTGTGCTCAATTTTCATTTTCTTCAAGCACTATGCATCTGTTATTTTTAGCTTCTTCACCATAATCGTGTTTCTGCTGGATGTAATTGTGCTTTATTTTAATGAGCTTTATGAGACATTCTTCTGTTTAACATGTGTTGCAAAACTGTTACAAACATTTGCTTGCTAGTTTGGCTAAATCTTTCTTAAACCACTTTTTGTAACATAGGTGCAGTTATAAACTTAAAAATTTAGTAAGTTTTCAGCAGAAATTTTGCGCATAGAACGATTTTCCTAATTTTTAGGACTAAAGGGTGCAGTTCCTGACTTGTATTTCTATGACAATTAGATCTTGGAAGGAAAGGCATATAAGCTGCAGTTCCCATGGATAGGTGTTGTTAATCGCTCTCAAGCAGACATTAACAAAAATGTGGACATGATTGCTGCTAGGCGTAGAGAGCGGGAATATTTCGCTCAAACTCCTGAGTATAAACATCTTGGTCACAGGATGGGTTCTGAGCATCTCGGGAAAGTTATGTCCAAAGTAAGCAAACATCGTGCCTTACAGGAATTTTTTTCCTTAGTAATTTAAGAAGCTAACAAAACCAAAATGAAAATTTTCTAGTTTTCTTATAGCAGCTTCTCTCAAAAAATGTGTTCTTTGGAAACATGTCGATTTGACATTTTGTGGTACACTTGCATTCTATTTCCAGCCAAGAATGCTGAATGTAGGAAAACACTGCTGCTTGATTTTTCACCCTTTACAGAAATAAGGAAAATGCATCCACTTTTTTCAATATTTTCATTTTCTGAAGCTTTATTTAATGGTTTAGTCTTTTTTATTGCCTTTTAAGCAAAAATCTGTGAAATGCATGCATTTCTTAAATGAGTTATGCATATTGCTGGCAGCTTTATCAGTATAAATTGCTAATAACTGGGTCTTATTTTCTAGCATTTGGAGTCCGTTATCAAATCTCGAATTCCAGGACTGCAGTCACTTATTAACAAAACTATCATTGAGCTAGAATCTGAGTCGAGTCGTCTGGGGAGGCCCGTTGCTACTGATGCTGGAGTAAGTATGTCATCCCATTTATTCCTTTTCAAATTTAGGGTGTGTTTGAGCCACATTATTTTAAAAGAATGTATTTTAAAATAGTAGATTGATGGAAAATGTGTGGTTGAAAAAGAAGGAAAAGTTATTGATGTGATGGAAAATATTATTTTTTTGAAAAATGTGTGTTTGAAAATGAGTAGAAGAATGAGAATGAAAATTTTAATGTGTGTCAAACAGGGGCTTACATAATCTTTTAATGAATTAGTTTAGATTAATTCATGGTGTCATTTTTTATATGCATGCTTCCCTTTATGTTTAAAGGGAAGTTTAGGATGTTACTTTTGCTTTTAAGTGGTTTTACTGCATGAAGCGTTTTGATCTTTTTAACCTTTAAT